GCTGATGCATCGCTGATGCATCGTCGACGCATCGGCGATGCGTCGGCGACGTCCGCGATGCATCGCGGATGCCTCGCCGATGCATCGCCGACGTCGCAACGGGCTCCACATCGAGCCGCATCGCCGATGCATCGGCGATGCGGGGCGATCCTCCGACCCCACCTGCCCCGACCCCATCCAGGAGGCCTGTAGCAGGGCCCACCCTGTGGCTCTTAAAACAAGGCTAGGATCGGGATAAATCGCTCCAGAGCGTTCCGGAGCGCTCTCAGAGCGTTCCGGAACGCTCTGGAGCGGCCGCGGCACCCAATACATCCTCCAAACCCGCCGATTCTCAGAGATTTCGAGTTATCCCGATCCGATTTTGTCCCGATCTTCGCGTCGTTTTAGGGGCTTCCTGGGCCCTCCTGTGGGGGTGGGGGCCCTTCGGGGCCCGTGCGGGAGGGCAGAGCCGACCCGTCGTGCGTGTGCGTGCCGTTCGCGCGCTCGCCCGGCCACCCCGCAGAGCGGCCAGTGGCGGGACGGAGGAGGCGCCCCGTGGCCCGTGGCGCGCGGGGGGGTAGGCCCTCAGAGGGCCTCAGGAGGTCTTCGGTCGCGGGACCCCCTCCCCAAAACAAAAAAAGTGACCCCCCCCCTGGGCTGGCGAACACGTCTGCGCGCCCTCCCAGCTCGCCCCGTCCATCTCCTCCATCCCCCTTCCTTCTAAACACTCGCAGCCCCCGCCGACGCTGGTCGAAAGGCGGGGCGGGCGTTTCGCCTCCCTTCCTCACCAACTACAGCAGATTCACGGATGGAAGGCTGGTCGTTTTCAAAATGTGGCTGTCGCCCTAGCGCCGAATGGATGTCGCCTTGGCGCCGCGTGTGTTGGTTTTAAGAGTTTGCACGATTTCACGGATGGAAGACGGGTAGTATTTCACATGTAGCTCTTGCCTCAGCGCCGCGGGCAGTCGTCTTAAACAGTTGCAAGGGCTTCAGGGATTGAGGGCGGTTTCTGTTCAACATGTGGCTCTCGCCCCAACGTCGCGCACATTCGTCTTAACCGTAAACGTTTCACGGATAGAGGGCGGCTTATTTTCAATACGTGGCTCTCGCCTCATCGCCGCGCACATTCGTGCTAAAATGTTGCATCATATTCAAAGATATTCATGGCTGACGTCCCAAAGATGGTGTAGCGGCACGATGTCGGAATGTCAAGGCGTAACATCCACGTTGATTCGCAATTAGAATCCCAAGAACGGTGCTCGGACACGGTTCAGGTCCGTCAAGACGCAAGAGTAACCGTGATTCGCGGCGTAATTAATGTTATGGCACAGTTCTGGATTTTCAAACGGTTGTCTTCTCAGAGAAAATGAACCCTTGTAGGGGCCTCTGACGAGGGAACTTGAACGGAGGGATGATTGCAATATCGTTGATGGATCTTGTGTTTCACTGGTCCTCCTCCTCCTCCTCCACTCTTCTTCCTCCACGACGGCGGCGACGGCGGCGGAATAGCTATTAGCCGAAGATGGTTGGGCGTCGACAGTCCTCAAGTAGGCACCGGGGTATGTGTACTGACATTCACACACACATAAAAACATATATATATATATACTAGAACCATCGCGCGCGCTTCGCGCGCGCTCAGGTTCTAGCAGGCCCAAGGCCTTGACGAATTCACTGCTCCACTGAAGTAGTGGGCCACAGTCCACGCATGCCAATCTGCATTCCGAAAGGCCTTCGAGGAAAATGGTTGTGTAGGGGGGCGGAGGCCGTATGAACCGCATTCCCAGAAGGCATTCTGGGAGCATGGGTTTGGGGGCGTCTTGGGGAGCCTGTTGGGGTGTGCCGTCGTCGTCGTCGTCGTCGTAATGTCGTCGTCGATTACTGGGACGCGCCGCCGTCGTCGTCCTCGTCGTCATCGTCGTCTTCGTCGTCTTCGTCGTTTCAACGTCGTCGTCGGTTCAAGAGGGCACTTGGGGCAACTTTGTGCGAAACGATCTGCGGAGGGCCGCGAGAAGGCGATCAGACATGTTCCCAATCAACTTCCCAGACAGCTCTCCTGTGGCATGGTGGTACTTCGAAGCCTCCGGAGACTCGCGGGCCCATGATGAACCATGCCCCCAGAAGGCTTTCTGGGGACATGGTTTGTTGGGGTGTGTTGGGGGGTCTCTTGGACGTTCCCTGAGGGCCCCTTGGGGGCCTCCTGGAACTCTCGGGCCTATGATGAACCATGTCCACGGAAGGTTTTCTGGGCACATGATTTCTTCGGGTGTGTTGGGGGGCCTCTTGGGCGTTCCCTGGGAGCCCCTGGGGGGTCTCTTAAGGCTTCCTGGGGGCCTCTTGGGCGCCTCACGGGGCTTCGTGGGAGCCTCTTAGTGGCCTCCGGGGGCCTACAGGCGGCCTCTGGGGCCAGAGACCTCGAAATATCGGTTGGCGGTCCCCCATCTGGGCCCTCTCTTGAGGAGCTCTTGGGGCACAGTGTCTGGGGAGCCTCCTGGGCCGTCTCGGGGCCCTCTTCGGGGCCTCGTGGCCCGTCTTGGAGCGATCTGAAGGGCCTCCGAGGCCGTGAGGGAGCGCTGGAAAGCGGGAAAAGCGAGAACGCCAAAATCCAAAACACTCAGAAAACGAGTGAATCTTGCCTTCCAGGGCCCTCTTGGGGAGCCTCTTGAGTCCGTCCTGGAGCGTGTTGGAGTCCTCGTCGGCTGTCTTGAGGGCATCTTGGGCGTCTTCGGGGCCTCGTGGGACCCCCTTAGCCTGTCGTGGCCTGCTTCGGCGCGGGCTCGGGCCGCCTCGGGAGCTCTGGATCCCCCCCCGCGGTGGGCCCCGATGGAGGGAACAGGCAGCGGCCCGCCCCCCCCCCGGGCCTACTCCGAGATAGAGAACCATGTTCCCGGGAAGCTTTCCGGGAGCATGTTTTGTTCGACTCTCTAAGAGGGGGGCCTCTGGGGGCTTACCGAGGGGCACCTTTTGGCCTTGTCGGCAAGCCTATAACTGGAAACATGGTTGGGGCGGTGGGCGGAAGCCCAAGGAATCATGTTCCTGGAAAGCTATCTGGGAAATACGATTTACCGAACTGTCTTGGGGGCCCCCTAGGGGGCTTCCCTGGGGACCCCTGGGGCCTATTGGGGCTTCCGGGGGGCCTCTTGGGAGCCTCACGGGGTTTCTTGGGAGCCTCTTGATGGCCTCCGGGGGCGTCCTAGGAGCCTCTCAGGCCGGAGACCTTGAAATGCCGCGCTCTTCGGGCCCTCTTGGGTCGCTCTTGGGGCTCTCTTGGGGCGCTCTCGAGGCCCTCTTGACTTATCTGGGGAGCCTCCTGGGCCGTCTCTGGGCTCTCTTGGGAGCCTCTTCGGCCGTCTTGGAGCGATCTGAAGGGCCCCTGACGCGGTCTGGGACCGTGGGGAGGCGGAACATGGGAGAGCGCAAGAATGCTTCAAAAATCATTGGGAAATTTATGATTTTCGGCTTCTGGGGCTCTTTGGAGGGGCCTTTTGAAGCGATCCTGGGCTTCTCTCGGCGCTCTTGGAGCCTTCTTTGGCGGACTGGGAGGCCCGGGGGCCGCCCGAGGAGCGTCCCGGGAGGCCTTCCTGGGCTGTCTTCGGGCTATCCTAGGGCGCCTCGTGGGGCTTTCGGACCGCTCCGACAGCCAAGGGAGCTGATATCCTAAAAATGTACGTTTTACGAAGGGAATGGGGCCATTTTGGTCTCCCGGGGCGCTCTTGGGGGGCCTCTTGGAGGCCTCTTGGGGCGGTTTGATGGCCTCTTGGCCCTTCTGGAAGCGATCTTTTGCGGTCTTGAAGCGATCCTGGGGTTCTCTCGGCGCTCTTGGAGCCTTCTTGGGCGGACTGGGCAGCCCGGGGGCCGCCGGAGGAGCGTCCCGGGAGGCCCTCCTGGGCCGTCTTGGGGCTGTCCTCAGTCGTCCTGGAGCGTCCTTGGGCGCCTCGTGGGGCTTTCGGGCCGCTCCGACAGCTAAGGGAGCTGATATCGTAAAAATGTACGTTTTACGATGGGAATGGGGCTATTTTGGTCTCCCGGGGCGCTCGTGGGGGGCCTCTTGAAGGCCTCTTGGGGCGGTTTGAGCGCGTCTTGACCCTTCTGGAAGCGATCTGTGGCGGTCTTGAAGCGATCTTGGGGTTCTCTCGGCGCTCCTGAAGCCCTCTTGGGCGGGCTGGAACGCGCGGGGGCCGCCGGAAGGGCGCCCCGGGAGAGGGCCGCACCCTATATACAAGGGAGGTTCCGGCCCGGGGCCCGGGGCCCGGGATCTCCCATATATGTATATATGTATACATATGTGTTTGTTTGTAGATATGTAGGCACATACCTTACATCGGTATATACACCTACATTTGCCTATGACTGAAGGGGGTACCATGGATCTATTGCGGCTACCGGGCGTCATAGGAAAACGGAGGAGCTGCGGAGATGCGGACATTGCGGGTGTTGATTGGAGAACGGCAAGAAGGCAGAGGAGGACATTCCGCCCAGTTTCCCGTCTTCGGGGGGCCCTCCTCGAGCACTGACGAATTTCCATAGGCGAACGGGTCCCCCCTGCGGCCTCCGCTCTCTCTTTCCCCGTCTCTCTCTTTTTTCTCGTCTGCTCCCGCGTCTCTGCTATATTGGAGGGCCTTCTGGGATTAGGGCTTTGCGCTGGTGCTGGGGTTTCAGCGGTACCCCGTCGTCTCTGCTTGCGCCCATCCACCTAGTGGGCGCGTCATATCATTTTGCCAGCGGGTCGCAACAGCAGGGGGGGAGGGGGGGGTTAATGAGGGGAAGGAGGAGCGAGGAGGGGGGAGGAGAAGGAGGAAGACGACGAGCGACGACAACGGGGACGGGGAGGAGCAAGGGGGGGGGAGGACGAGGGAGGAGAGGGGGCAGGAGAACGTGGAGGAGGAGGAGGACGAGGAGAACGTGGACGACGACGACGACGAGGTTGAAGACGACGACGAGCGGGGACAGCGCTGACGACGACGAGCGGGGACGAACGACGAAGTTGACGACGCCAGCGACAGGGCGGCGACGGGGCGCGCCATGAAGTCGCGGTTGCCCCTCAGGCCGAGCGGGGCGTACCTGCGAACATCGGGGGCCCGGCCGAAGCGAGGCCCTCCTCCTCCTCCTCCTCCTCCTGCTCCTCCTCCTCCTCCTGCTCATCCTCCTGCCCATCCTCCTCCTCCTCCTCCTGCTCCTCCTCCTCCTCCTCCTCCTCCGCCTACTCCTCCTCCTCAGCCTCCCAGCCTTCAGGCCGCCTCCCCCCTTCCCCCCCCGTGCTGAGCCTCGGAGCCGGGCCGTCGACGTCGCACGGTGTTTCGGGCGCCTGGAGATTCTGAGGCGGCGCCGAGGCCCAGCACCGAGAGGGAACAAAAACCATGGCCCGGGCGGGAGAGGGGAAGGGAGAAGTGGGGAGGGGAAGGGGGAGGGGGGGAAAGGGTGAGGAGGGGGAGGAGGAAGAGGAGGAGGAGGGGGGAGGAGGACGATGAGGAGGGGGAGGAGGAGGGGGAGGAGGATCCGAGGTCCCTGGATCGCTGGTCGGCTCGGGCTGGCCGGGGTCTGGGGCCCGTCTCGCGCAGGACGCGTCTCCCTTCGTCGCCAGGCGTGGGGTGCAGCAGCGAGGGGGCGGAGAGGAGGGCCGCCAGGCGGGCAGCTTAAGGCGTAGGGGGCCCCCCTTCGGGGAGCCTCGTGGGCACCACTCCCAAGAATCCCTGGTGCCCACGCGATGCTTTGACTGCCTTCCCCCGTTGACCTTCGCGAGAGCATGTCGGCGCCTGGAGGCCCTTTTCTCGCTGGGGGAACCTCGTGGGGGTCACTCTTGCGCCGGGCACACGCTGGCCGGAGCGAGCCGTCGCGTCTTGATGGCCGCGATCGGAGAATGAACCGCGGTCGGAACACGGAGCTCGGGCAGCCTCAAAGATTGGCAACTACAATCGGGGCCTTGACCTTAGGAACCCTAAATAAGGAACGAGGCCCCTTTTTTCCATAAATTTCGATTTCCGATCGAAAACATAAGGAAAACCTGAGGCAAGCTGTGAAACACTTAAGGAACGCGGAGCCCCTCCCCAACGAAAAGGGTCCCTTCTTCAGGGCCCCGACTGTAGTGCGTGCACGATGGGAAGCAGAAGGGCGAAGAAGATTGCACGGGAAAGGAAGGCCGCTGCGATCAAAACGTGCATCGAGGACGGGTGGTAGGACCGCAGACCCCTCTGGAGGCCGAAGTTCGGTATTTTTGTTGGTGGCGGGCGACCGGTGACAGCGGCAAATGACGGGCGGCAGAGGCAAGGACAACAGGGCACCTCAGATGAAGGCGCGCGTCCTCACTGGGCGCGTTGACTGTAATGCACAAAGGCGTGCACAACGGCAAGGATGCCCCGCAACCTCCCGCGCAGGCTGCCGCGGGGGGGCCACCCTCCTGCTCCCACCTCCCCCTCTGAGGAAACCAGAGAGTACCAACACCAGAGGTCAATGGGCCTCTCCTGGGATGCGTTTTGGCCAGGATTTTCGAGGCGATTCCAGCGGTGGCGACGAGGGCCTCCCAGGGGAAAAACGAGGGAAAGGGCAGCGGTATGGGTACCCACTGGGGAAGTCAGCAGGTACTGATACCGCTACTCCCCGGACATCTCCTGGGGTGCGTTCTGACCAGGGTTCCGAGGCGACTCCAGCGGTGGCGACGAGGGCCTCCCAGGAGGCCCACAGGGGGGAAAACGGGCGGAGGGCAGAGGCATGGGTGTGCTGTTGCCCTCCCCGGACCCTCCCCCTTCCTCCCCCGGAGGGCAGCCCTCCTGCACCGCACCCGCCTCCCCTGCCCGCGCGAGAGCTCCTGCCCCCGCGCCGCCGCGCCGGGGCGGTCGGCGCTCCCGGCCGCGGCCGCGGGGCCGGAGGAGAGCAGGGCGGGCGGCGGCGCAGGAGGACCGCGCCGCAGCGTCGATGCGTCGGCGGTGCACCCGCGCCGTCGGGATGGAGAGAGTCGGGCTCCGAAAGGGAAGGCGGAGGCGGAGGAGGAGGAGGAGGGAGGAGGAGGAGGAGGAGGAGGAGGAAGGAGGAGGAGGAGGAGGATGTAATGATGAGATCGGCTCAAGATGCGTTCCAGGACTTCCAGAGTCTCTAGCGGCCCTCGTCTCTGCAGGGTGCGGAGCTTCCTAGGAAAACTCGAGGGTCCGGGATCTGCCGGAACGGATCACTATTGTCAGTTATTGCTCCTCTGAGCCGGATCCCACCTACTCGGACCCCACCTGAGCGGCCTGGGGTCCATAGATCTGTGGTTCGTCGTTCCCAGACCCCCGACGTCGTGGGCATGAGGAATCGAACTCACCTGAAAACGTAGCTTGGGATCTGGAGCCGCGTCGATCCTGACCTGTGGGGTCGGCCTGCGGGGTCGGCCTGTGGGTTCAGGCTCGCTCGCGATTCCCGTCGTCCATAATCAGAGCATTCACCAAAAGCAACGCGCTTCCCGGCGACATCGGGAGTGCGCCCTACGAATTGCGACACTTTCCATACATTATGCTGGGCTTGACAAGCAATCGTACCAAGGCTACGGCGACTTCCCAATACGCCACTGCACAAAACATATGCTTGGAAATACGAATGCCATAGGGAGAGACTGCCTGTATGTCTCATGGCAAACTGTCCGTACATCTTACAATCGTTCAGATGTTTGGAGCAAGTCTGACAGTGAGTTGCTGACACAACTGATGCGAGGTGGTTCAAACAGTATCCCAGTGCGACCCTACCTAGGAGTTGGAGCCTCTAGGAAAGCAATGCTATGCTATGCTGGGCTAGGCTAGGCCAGGGTAGGCTATGCTATGCTATGCTATGCTATGATGCGCTATGCTATGCTATTACATGTCATGATATGCTGCGCGATGCTATGCTATGCTATGCTATGCTATGATATGCTGCGCTATGCTATGTTGCGCTATGTTATGCTATGATATGCTATGCTATGATATGCTAATGCTGCGCTGCGCTGCGCTAAGCTGAGCTAAGATAGGCTAGGCTAAGCTGAGCTAAGCTAAGCTAAGCTAAGCTAAGCTAGGCTAGGCTAAGCAAAGATAAGCTAAGCTAAGCTAAGCTAAGCTCGGCTAAGCTAAGATGAGATAAGCAACACTGTGCTAAAATAACGTCACTGGGAAAACCGCGGGGCGGATGCCGGGGGAACCGCCCGGGGCGAGGACCACTGCCCGGCCCTTTAAGCACACCGAGTAAGAACTCTTCTAGGCAGAGCCTAGGTAGGGAAACAGTACAGGAAGAAAGGGATGATGAGGAACGGAAGGTGGCGGAGGAGAACGAAGGATGACTAATGAGGTGATGACGGAAGCGACGGAGAAATAAGGTCGCACTCCTGATTGCATTGCATTGCATCATTACGTTGCGTGTGCTCTGTAATTCAATGGAGTCAGTTGCATTGCTTTGCGTTGCGTTGCGCAATGGATTTGCATTGACTTGCGTCCCATCGTTGCACGCGTTGCGCAATGTTGCCGAACATTGTAACCCTTTTGTCTCAATCGCAAGCTCGTCAGTGAATGCGCTATCCAGGGCACTCGCCATCCATGGATGCCGATTTGACGCTCGTGAAAGCGGCATGCTTGTGTGCCTGAGGTCACGAGCCCAGCTGGAGGCCGCTGTCAAGTATGTTGTCACCGCTGTCGGTGGCCGCGTCGCCGAGCCGCCGGTGAAGCTCAAGACGGACGCGGTCGGTGCACCGCCGTACGCTGTCGAGGCTGCCTTGTATGGATTATACTCAGTGGGCATTGTCATCCGCTCTTCGGCTCACGAAATTGACGGGCAAGCCGCATCTGCATTTACATCGGCGGCAGCCTCGTCCATGGTGGTTCCTCCTGTTCACGGCACTGGGGGAAACACTCGTTGCAGCAGCTTGCCGTCGCATGTCCCATAATACATTGGCGGATTCAGTTCGTCACCTAACCAAAGATGTATTGAGATTGAGGAAAGAGACAAGGCGAGGAGAGAGAGAGAGAGGGGAGACAAAATTCTACGATTGATATCCTGGTGAATGGAACGTCTGACATGTGGCTGGAGATGCAAAATATGAAGTACGTTAAGGACTCGAAAGTTCCAGATTGTCAGAGAGGGCGCCACCATATGGAGATTCTTGGCATGTATCGCCTCGTTGCGTATCAAGCGCAGCATCGGGTGCGCCAGTGCCGAGCCCACAGCCCAAATGCTCGAGGCTGAGGTCGGGCGAAATCAAATCGTGAAAAACGAGAAATTACATATTTTACCGTGACTCCTACCAGCTTCTACGACGTTTCCACGAGTGTGCGAAAATGGCTGGAATTCGGGGTATCCCGCATTTCGCTGCTTTGCTCGTACTCTTGCTCCTGCCAATGCCCTTGCATCTGCTGCTCCTCCCTGACCTCCTATTATTCTCCACCTTTTATTCCTCCCCTACCTCCTCTACTTCTCGGCCGTCGTTCTCCAGGGGGGACACGGTAACGATACCGCTACCCTGCCCGTGTCACCACGGCTGGATTCGCCTTGAAACCCTTGTCAGAAAACACCCCCGGATGGGTCTGGAAAGTAACGGTATGGGTACCTGTTGTTTCCCCAGTTTCCTGACTCCGCAAGTCTTACTTCGTCGTGCCGCTGACGTCGCCTCAGGAGTGGCCCGCGCGCACTGGCAAGCGCCTTATATCACTCTCGAAGGCCACACGCTGTGCAGCGATGCTTGGAGCTCAAAGGCCTTGCCGCCCCTCCGCTCCGAGACTCCTGCCCTTTGGACGCCCGAAATGGGTACGGAAAAAATGGGTACAATGCCCAACAACAACTGTTGTCCAAAACCGCCAGCGGCCGCTGTTGGGCAGGCGGCCTTCTGTCTCGAACGGACACAGGCCGCGGCGGCGTGGACATCGAATCCTGTTCAAAAAGAACAGGAACTGCTGTTGGGCATTGTACCCGTTCTTTCCGTACCCGTTTCGGGCTAACAAGTTCCCTCTCTTCCCCCCCGAACGCTTCAGCGCGGGGGCACACGATGGACGCTGGATGGGCCTTCACGGCCTCGAGGACGAAGTCTGGATCCTCCCGCGGGGCTGCAGCGTGGACGCAGGCGCGCTGCCGAGCTCCGGAACCAAGATCACTGCCATCAAAAGTCTCCGGGAACGCTCTGGACGAGCTGGTCGCGACCGAAATTCGGCCTCCGGCCGCGAATTCTGGCAACGAGCGAGCAGCCGACGACATACAAATCCTCGATTTGAACCTGACGCGCCGTCCCCGCGTTACCGAAACTCGACCCCTTCCGCTCGCGACAAAAGCTGGCGCGACCGAAATCTTTTTACGGGGGGCCCTCTGGATGGGCCTGAGCAAATGGAGCCGGGGAGTCGCGCCGCGTCGCCGACGCATCGCTGATGCATCGGCGACGTACGGGCGCGATGCATCGGCTCCGTCGGCGTGGAGAGAATGGGGTTCCGCATCGCGCCGCATGGCCGATGCATCGGCGATGCGGCGCGACCGTCCGACCCCGTCTGCTCGGACCCCATCCGGGCGGCCTCGAAATTTCCGGTCGCGGATGATCTAGAAGGAGCGGCCGGCCAGCCGCGGTTTCGTCGGGATGCTGTCTGGCGAGCGATCCTGGCCAGACCCATCCTGAGCCCAGGATTGAAGGAAGGCGCCAACGATGCACCTGCGCCGATCCTGGCCAGGCCTATCCAGGACCCAAGAGCAGTGTACGTGGCACCCCGCAATTGCGGATAAGAGTGAGGGGGCGCGCGCGGGCGACGCGGGCGTCGAGCCGGCGGACCTCGTGGCCCTCACCTTCCCTGTCGATGGCGCCCTCCTCCTCCTCCTCCTCCTCCTCCTTGTTCTCCTCCTCCTCCTCCTCCTCCTGCTCCTCCTCCTCATCCTCCTCCTCTTCCTCGTCCGCGTCCTCGTCCTTATCGTCGTCGTCCTCCTCCGCCTCCTCCTCCGCCACCTCCTCCTCCTCCTCTTCCTCCTTGTCCGCCTCCTCCTCCTCCTCCTCCTCCTCCTCTTCCTCCCCCGTCCCGATCCTCCCCCCTCCTCCTTTCCGTCGCCGTCGTCGTCCTCCTCCCCCCCCTCCTCCCTTCTTTCTCGTCGTCCCCCTCCGTCCCCCGCCGCAGGCGTCGATGTGCTGTTGTGGAGTCAACGTGGGCCAGATCAAGGGAATGACACAAGGGCGCTTTCCCAAACCAATTCGAGCAAGCCCGCCGCAGGCGCCGATTTGCGTGCTCTGACAAGTGCAGCGCGGGGGGGATCGTTGGTGGGCCACCCAGAACGAATGCAAAAACAGCCCGCCGCAGGCGCCGAAGTTTTGGTTTGTTCAGTGAACGTAGTTTGGGTCGCGGGTGGGTCGCGGGCTATCCACCTCCACCTGGAAGGAATTCAAAACCAGCCCGCCGCAGGCGCCGAAAATTTTCATGTGTACACTGAACGCGGTTTGGGTCGCAGGTTCTCCACCTGGAGCGAATACAAAAGAAACCCGCCGCAGGCGCCGAAGTTTTGGCTTGTTCAGTGAACGTAGTTTGGGTCGCGGGTGGGTCGCGGGCAATCCACCTCCACCTGGAAGGAACTCAAAAACAGCCCGCCGTAGGCGCCGAAAATGTTGATGTGTACACTGAGCGGTTTGGGTCGCGGGTGGGTCGCAGGTTCTCCACCTGGAACGAATGCAAAAGAAGCCCGCCGCAGGCGCCGAAAATTGTGGGTGGGTCGCGGGGTGGGTCGCGGGGTGGGTCGCGGGTGGGTCGCGGTGGGTCGCGGGTGGGTCGCGGGCGCGGTTTGGGTCGCGGCTGGGTGGCAGGTTTCCCACCTAGAACGCATGCAAAACAAACCCGCCGCAGGCGCCAAAATTTTGGGTGGGTCGCGGGTGGGTCGCAGGGTGGGTCGCGGGTGGGTCGCGGGGTGGGTCGCGGTTGGGTCGCGGGTGGGTCGCTGGGTGGGTCGCGGGGCGGGTCGCGGGTGGGACGACGACAACAACAAACAGCAAACAACAAACAGCAAACAGCAAACAACAAGCAACAACCAACAACCAACAACCAATAAACAACTAACAATTAACATCTAACAACTAACAACTAACAACTAAGAACAGCCAACAACCAACAACCAACAAACATCAAACATAAAACAACACACAACAACCAACAGACAACCAGCAACAAACACCAAACAACAAACAACACACAACAACACTGACAACAACAACAACAACAACAACGACGACAACAACAACGGCAGCAGCAGCACCAACGCAAACACCCACACCAACAATAACAACAACAACACCAACAACACCACCAACAACAACAACAACCACAACCGCAATAACAGCAAAATCAGCAGCAGTAGCACCAACAGCAGCAACTATAACAACAACACAGCAGTTGCAACAACAACAACAACAATAACAACAACAACAACACCAACAACAACAACAACGACAACCTCAGCAACAACAACAACAACACCAACAACGACAACAGCAACAACAACAACAACAACAACAACAACATCAACCTCAACAAAAACAACAACAACAACAACAACAACAACAACAACAACAATAACAATAACAACAAAGACAACAACAACAACAACAACAACAACAACAACAACAATAACAACAACAGCACCAACAACACCACCACCACCATCACCAACAACAACAATATTTTTAAGACTGTTCGTCCTTATCTGCTCGAGTGTCCAATTACGCGAATTTTCCAAACCCTCGATGCCCGCCCTTTTCGTCTTCGATCGAACCCCTTTTGGGGGGGTATACCTTTCTTCCCTGCAGGCCGGGCCCCGGCAGGCGGCGGGGCGGCCGCGGACCGTCGGCCTGGCCAGCGGCAGCGCAGATCGGCGGGGCGGCCGCGGACCGTCGACCCGACCCCAAGAGGGACGGACAGGGGACCGACCACGACGACGACGACGACGTCGACGAAGACGGCAACGACGGCGACGGCGACGGCGACGACGAGCGAAAGCGAGAGCGAGAGAGAACGACAGCAGAGCCACGAAGGACACGAAGTAGGCCACGAAGGGCGACAGCGGGGACACGAAAGGAATGCGTATGGGGCCACGAAGAGCGCGAATGAGCGGGGGCCACGAAGGGCAGATAATGCGGGGCCACAGAAGGCAACGACGGGGCCACTGAGGGTAGCACCTGGGCCACGTAGGACAATGATGGGGCCACAAACGGCGACAGCGGGGCCACGAAGGGCATGCACATGGGGCCACAACGGGAGCGCACGAGCGGGGGCCACGAAGGGCATACGTATGTTGGGTCGCGGAGGGTACGGACGGGGCCACTGAAGGCAGCAACGGGGACACGAAGGGCAGCGAGGGGGCCACGAAGGGCGACAGCGGGGCCACGAAGGGCATGCATATGGGGCCACCACGGGCGCGAACGACCGGGGGCCACGAAGAGCATACACACATGGGGCCACGAAACAAAGCGAGGGGGCCACGACGGGCTGCAACGGGGCCACGAAGGGCAGAGAGGGGGCCACGAAGGGCTGCAACGGGGCCACGAAGGGCTGCAACGGGGCCACGAAGGGCAGCGAGGAGGCCACGAAGGGCTGCAACGGGGCCACGAAACAAAGCGAGGGGGCCACGAAGGGCTGCAACGGGGCCACGAAGGGCAGCGAGGAGGCCACGAGGGGCTGCAACGGGGCCACGAAACAAAGCGAGGGGGCCACGAAGGGCTGCAACGGGGCCACGAAACAAAGCGAGGGGGCCACGAAGGGTTGCAACGGGGCCATGAAGGGCAGCGAGATCCCGATTCCTAGGTAATCTGCGAAGGAGTCCTAAGCGTGAGCGCGACACCTGGGTGCCTGGGTGTCGGGAGCGCGGCGCTGGAGTAAATTGCAAGAAATTCTAACGCAAGGGCGCTATTCTTCAGTAAATTACAAGCAAGTCTCCAGCGAGAGCGCGACTCCAGAGCGCAGGAGGAGCGATTCCTGAATAAATCGTAAGAAAGTCCCAAGCGAGAGCGCGATTCTTAAATAAAATGCGAGGAAGTCTCGGGCGGGAGCGGGGGTCCTGGCTAAATTGTGAGGAACTCTCAGGCGGGAGCCGTTGATGTTGTAACCCGGGGGCCAGGGGGCCAGTTTGAGCAGGAAGACTTTCCTTGACAAAAAACCAAGTGAGAGCCCCGGGGGGGCACTTCAATTGAAACAAATCAATGTGCACCGGTGAGGGGGGATCAACAATACTTATTGTTTAAGAATGACAGTTTAACATCAACAACCACAACAACAACAACAACAACAACAACAACAACAACAACATCCACAACAACAACAACAACAACAACACCACCACCACCACCACCAACAACAACAACAACAACAACAACCACAACCACAACCACAACCACAACAACAACAACAACAACAACAACAACAACAACAACAACAACAACAATCCGCATCGCGGAATTCCACTTCAGCCACGCACCCAGGGACAGTGAATGACTGTTCGGTGCAGCCCCCTCAGTCTGATATGCCCCTCGCTTGGGCAGGAAGGCATACGCGCCAATCCTGGGCCCAGAATCGGATGGCCAGGATCGGTGCAGGTCTAGGTGAATCTTCCGTGCCCTCCAAGATTGGTGCATTGCTGGCGGTCCAGGCCAGACCTCGGAATCCGCATCACTCCCGAACCTCCCTCTAGCCCATGCGGCAGCCCCTGACCCAGACCAGAGAGGAAACGAACCTCTGATGGCCGCACCCGGCCGCCTTCGCGCTGCCAGGGCGCGGCGCGACGCAAGGACGAGGAGACGGAGGGGGGCAGCGAGGAGGAGGAGGAGGAGGAGGAGGAGGAGGAGGAGGAGGAGGGAGGAGGAGGAGGAGGAGGAGGAGGAGAGGGAGGAGAAGGAGAGGGAGGAAAAGGGAAAGGAAGACGAGGAGGACGAGGCGAGGGGGACGAGCTTGATGAGGAGGAGGAGGAGGAGGAGAGAGGAGGAGGATGACGAGGGCGAGGAGGACGAGCTTGGTGAGGAAGAGGAGGAGGAGGAGAAGGAGGAGAAGGAGGAGGAGGATCGAGGAGGAGGAGGAGGAGGAGGATCGAGGAGGAGGAGGAGAAGGGAGGAGGAAGAGGACGAGGATCGAGGGGGCGGGGCACACGCCCTCCCCGGCCAGGGAGGCATGTAATGCACAGGATCCTGGGCCCAGGATGGGCCAGGCCAGGATCGGCGCGGGCGCACGCCCTGAGGCGCTCCGGGCGAGGGGGGCGAGGATGAGAAGGGGGCGCTGCCAGGGCGTTGCCTGCCTTGTCTGCTCCGCAAGAAGCACGAGTGCGGAGCCGACGAAAAACGGGGCCCCCCTCTCGCCTGAGGTCACGGGGGGGCCTCCTGCGGAACGGCGAGCAGCTGAAACATCAACCACTGCGTTCCGCGCTACGCCCGCGGCAGCGACAATGGCGCTCCGCGCTCCATCGCACTGGCCGCCGCCGCGGGGCCCTCCGGCCCCAACCCTGGCGGGGGAGTGGGCCGCAGTGGGACAGTGAACCCGGGGTGAGGAAAGGAAGGAGTGGAAGGGCACAGTCCCCCCGCGGCCTCCACCCAGTGGCTGCTACTGGTTTTACATCCCGACCCCCAGCCAGCGCCGACCGCCCCGCTGGCTCCACCAGCGGGGGGTGCCGCAGCTAACCCCGAGTCATTGACGGCGCCCCTGCTATCCAAGCAGGAGGGGGCGAGGAGGGGGGAAGAAGGAGAAGGAGGAGGAGGTGGAGGAAGAGGAGGAGGAGGGGGAGAAAGATGAGGAGGACGACGGGGAGGAGGAGGAACAGAAGGAGGAGGACGAGGGGGCGGGGAAGGAGGAGGAGGAGGAAAGAGAAGGGGGAGGAGGAGGAGGAGGAGGACGACGGGGAGGATGAGGAAGAGGAGGAGGAAAAAGGAGAAGAAGGAGGGGAGGAAGTGGGGAACGAGGGGGAGAAGGAAAAGGAAAAGGAGAAATGAATCAATGCGTTGAGTGTCCAGGCTACCCGTGAAGTGAAGAATGAGGAGGGCGTGGAAAAGGAGGTGGGAAGTTCTACTTTTTCAAAACCCACTCTGTGCCTCCACAGGGCCCTATCGGCTGGATGGGTGCCATGATGGTGCCTGGAAGAAGGAGAAGGGAACAAGGTGAGTGAGAGAAAGGAAGATGGGAAGAAATATCTGCAATGCCAGAATGGTGGGGTGTGAGGCAGTGGACGCATTTAAGCCGATGGTAACCAAAATTGATTCAATATCGTCAAGGAGTCCGCGAAGCTAATCTGGGCCTCACCGTCAGCAGCGAACTGTGCTTGCGACGCCCCTCCGTCGCGCAGAAGCACCCTAACAGTGTACTCGCGCTTCACGCGCCTGCCGCAACGGGAGCGCGTCAATCTGCCACGGCCTGAATGAATCGCATGGCCCGTCCACTCCGAGCCTTCCCAAAATGCAACTGTCGACACCTCCGAACTCGGACTCGCGCGTCCCGTCCATGACCACGGACGGCGCGCGCGTGCCTTGGTCCAATCTTGTGCGCCCAGTCCACGCCTCTTCTCCCACGCCCGCCCGTGGCCCAGAACTGCACTAATGCCATTGCTCGTCGGGCCTGCGCTGGAAAAAGCAAGGGTAGCGCAGTACATTGTCACGAGCAGGTTGCAGCCAACGTCAGGTTGCAGCAAGCGTCAATATGCAAACCGGCGTGCCCACATTGTTCAACAAATCTAAAAAAAGCGATGTTTCCAACACGAACGGTACACATTCTCTGGCGCGCCGGGGAGCTACCTTTGTCTTGAACGCAAAAAACGACTTATCTACACCAACCACTATCCGCGCGATAATGCATATTAGCATTTGCCACGTGGTCCAGAAGCACAAGTACATCGATCACGCACACATGGTTTTCCGCCCCAGGGAACTCAAAGCGAAGACAAGCTCCATCTCAACGTCCCCGCGCCGCACTTCGTGCGAACCATTGGTCTTGACATTATGTTCCGCCGGGCGAACAGAAAGGCCACCGCTCCTCTCAGCATCTTTGAATTGCAAAGTCATGTGGTTCAATGACAGCAGCGGTCGGGTGACCAACGTCACATCATTGGGAAAGGTATGCGGGTGAGACGCTTACGTGAGAGTTCTTGTCCTGCCCTGCGACCGTACCTCGAAGGTCTCCTCGGCCGATCCGGGATCCGCACGGACCTCCCACCTATTATGCTGCCGCCGCTGTTTTTTTCCCGCAACACGGCGAGACAGACATACCCGCATACCTGTCACGCCGTGTCCCCTTGAACCCATTAAGAAAGAGTTTCGCACCTCTAGTAGGTGAATGGCCCTGTCGCAGGGCGCGCAATGAATGATACCGTCGTCTTCCTCCTCCTCCCAATCCAAGAGCAGAAACGCGCGGGCAAGTGTGATCCTGGAACGAGAAGGAGGAAGAAGGCCCCCTCGGCCCAAGAAATCCGCACGGACCTCCGACCTCATAGAACGAAAAACAAACACCACAAAACACTACCGTGTATGTTCTTTCCAGATGGAAAGAAACATACACGCTCACGTGGAATACAAAGAAGATGTTCATCATGTGGACGACGCACAGATACATCAGCGCTGACTCCCAGGGAAACCGCATGTCCTGCAGGGAGGGGACACTGCGTTGAAAGCACGAAAACCAAGGGGCCCAAGGACACACTAATCAATACACACAAATAAAAGGATTCCCCATATTTTCCCACATTTTCTGGGTTTTTTGTCTTCCCCACCACTTCCCATAGTTTCCCATATTTTCCTGGGAATCGACGGTTAATTGTGTCTGTGTGTTTTTTCCCCTCCTGAGAAAACACTTTCATGTGTTGAACGCAATGATGAAACCACGCGGGGACATCCACGCGGAAACCACCCAGACATCCAGCGTCTCGATCCTTTCGAGACACAGCCCCCCGACCTCTCGACCTCTTCCCCGGGACCAGCTGTTCGCCCCCGGCCGTTTTCTGACGGTTCCGAGGCCCACTGAGGATCCCGAGAGGCAGAAGAGATAGGTCGAGCGTCCCCCTAATTACAGGCGGATTTTGGGCGACAAATGAAAATGAACCCAAACACGCTGAAACAATAACCAAAAAATGCTCAAAAATCGTCCCCAGACTATTTTTGGGGATTCTTGGATATTCCCCCTGTAGAGGGACAGGCCCGACTTACCAGAAGAGCATGGAAACGTCGTCCCGCATCCCTTCGAGACGCCGAACGACTGGGAACGGGGCCTCGCTGCATGCACGGAGGGTAGGACTGCCGATGGCCGGTGTGGCTCGGAGGAGGGGGAGGAGGGGGAGGAGAGGGAGGAGGGGGAGGGGGAGGAGGGGGAGATGGAGGGAACGGAGGAGGAGGAGGAGGAGGAGGAGGAGGAGGAGGAGGAGGAGAAGGGGGAGGAGGAGGAGAAGGAGGAGGACGGGGAGAAGGAGGGGAAGGAGGAGGAGGAGGAGGAGGAGGAGGAGGAGGGGGAGGAGGAGGGCCCTCCGACGGCCCGCGCGTCTGCCGCTCCCGAGAAGGCGGCGGCGGGGGGAGCGCGGGGCCTTCCGGAGGTGTGGCGCGGCGTGCTGGAGCGCGGGCGGCTGCGCCCGCAGGGCGCTGAGGATGAACTCGGGGCTGGACCAGAGCTCCTGCGGCTCCCGGGGGGCGAAAGAGGCCTGCAGTCGGCGCGCATCGCACTTAGAGTTACGTCGGGCCTATCCCCCTAGAGGCCGAATTTGGACGACGAAATAAAAATAGCCCAAAAGTACCCCCAAATGGTCAAACAGTTCTACACACACATATATACACACACAAAAAATCGTCCCCACTCCCCCTGTAGAGGGACAGGCCCGACTTAAACTTAGAGGCCTCCTGGATGGGGTTCGAGGAGATGGGGTGGGAGGATCACTCCAGATCGCTGGTACGTCGCCGATGCATCGCGCCGGTGCGTCGGCGATGCACCGTCGACGTCGGGGATGCATCAGCGACGCCCGCGTGGAGAAGATCGGGCTCCGCATCGAAGCGCATCGCCAATGTATCCGCGATGCGGCGCGATCCTTCGACCCCATCTACTCCGACCCCATCTAGGAGGCCAAGATCATGAAGATGCGCGGCAAACATGCGAGGGCTTTGGAAGGCCATGCCGCCACCTCTCGAGCGGGGCGCGGCCAGCGCAAGTGGCCAAGGATGGACCGAAGGGGAAACATGCCAGGGCAACCTTGGAAAGTCACGCATCCTTACTATGCGCCTTGTCTGCATCGTCGACACCTATCCACAAACAACTCATCGCAAGCAACCCAACCCGGAGGATCGCCGACGCTTCTTGGGCCAGGGTTAGGTTTGTTGCTTGACTGGCGGCTGCCCGCGAAGAAACCGAGGGAACACTGGGCGAGGCGGTGTGCAAATTGCTCGCGCAAAGCATCTCAGCATGAAGACACTAGGGGGTGCCCTGCCAGCCGTTTTTTGTTACGGGGACCGCTGCGAGCCTCCAATACGCACACGGCCCAAAGAGACACAGGGTACCCTGGCTGGTGCTTCTTGGAATGGGCTCCCACTGTACCCGTATCCGCGGCCGGGCGTCAGGGCGGCGACCCCGAGAATACGGAGCGCTCTGTTCGCGGATGCCCCGGGCGGAAAGTACCCGCACGACCGCGTGTGCGCGGGATCGCGCCGCGGAATCCAAACCGCGAGGGCGCGGATACGGGTACGTTCGCCGCTCGTGATGGGGCAGCGCAATGTCCACACCATGCCCCCACCAACCATCGATCGTTCTGAATCGATGGGAGTCGGGGACAGGGTTCGGACTACGCCACGTGTTCGAAGAAGTCATAAACCCTACCTCCTCTGCTCATCAAATTGCCTCAATCGTTGATCGGCGGGGGTAGGCCACGGAATCAGGATCGATGGGACGGGGATAGGATTCGGATTTCGCCACGTGTTCGACGAATTCCGAACCCTACCCCCGCAGCCTATCGAGTTGCCGTTGATCGGCGAGGGTAGGCTTCGGAATCCGAATCGATTGGAGGCGGATGTAGGGTTCAGATTTCGCAACGTGTTCGACGAATTCCGAACCCTACCACCGCAGCCCGTCGAGTTGCCTGAATCGTTGTTCGGCGAGGGTAAGCTTCGGAATCAGAGTCGATGCGAGGCGGGGATAGGGTTCGGACTACGCCAGTGTTCGACGAATTCAAAGCCCTATCCCGCCGCCCATCGAGTTGCCTGAATCGTTGATCGGCATGGGTAGGCTTCGGAATCTGAACCGATGGGAGGCGGGGTATGATTCGGATTTCGCCACGTGTTCGACGAATTCCGACACCGCTACTCCCTGGACCTCGCCCAGGGTGCCTTTCCGACCGGAATCTCGAGGCGAATCCAGCCGACCTGGCCCAAAGAGAGGGGGGGTAACACAAAGCAAGCGAGGCAGCATGGGTACCTTTTCCTCCTGGTGACCCCCGCCGCCCCTCGAGCTGCCTGAATTGACGAACCAACAGCACACACACCACACCCATACCCATAGAGGGGTCGGAGAGGGCTATGAGTGCGTGTTGTCGGATGGGGGTCCCCGCTCGAACGGGAGCGTTCCCCAGGGTCCGACAACCCGCACCCATACCCATAGCAAGTTGTCCTCCCAACGAGCCCCCTAACTATGGGTATGGGTGTGTGTTGCTCGTTCGTCACGAATCGTGGATCGGCGAGGGGAGGCTTCAGACCTCGCCGCCCAGTGGCGGCGCGCCGAGGGGGGGGGGGACCCGGAGGGGGCGGGCCCACTCGGAGGGCGGCGCCGCTTCTCGGAGGCCCTCTGGCCCTCTGAGGCGCCCCCAACGGCGCCCGAGGAGGCCCGAGAGGCTCCTCGGGGGGCCCGAGGCCTTCCGAGCCGTCCGAGCAGGCCCGCCCCCTCTCGAGGAACAGTCAACGGCATCAACGCGAACTTGTGACGCTCCGCGCGGATATCTTGGACCTGCGCTGAACCCCCCTCCCTGGCGCGCGGAGCGCGCCGAGGGGGGGGGCCGGAGGCGCCGCCAGGGGGTACCAGCGCAGATCGAAGAAATCCGCGCGGACCGCCAACTTGTCACAGCTCGGACGCCCATTCCCCGTGCATGCCTCGGCTTCGTGCGTTCGTTTTTTCGCAAGATAGTCCAAGATGCTCCTCGAGGCCTTCAAGGACGGCTACGGGGCTCCCGGAAACGCCACAGACCTCTGGAGACCTGGACAAGGGACCGAGAACCTCAAACTCCAACTACTTCTCCGACGCCATTCTCTCCCTCGCCCACCTCAGGGTGTGCTCCTTCTCTCCCTGCTCCCCCCTCGAAGCCGCTGGAGCAATGGCAAAAACAGCATCGAAGAACTTCGATGCTCCATCCGTGGCCACCCCCGTCCGCCCAGACCAATCCTGGCCGGGCCGATCCCTGGTGACGCGGGTCCTGGACCCTGGGGCCCCCTGCAACACCGATGCTTGCTGCTTGACGCCCCCGGGCCAGGGAAGGCCCCGCGAGCCCGGGAGCGGCAAACTTGTCTCCGGGACTCCATCCCCCTGCCCTCACTGGGGGGGTGGGGGCGGGGGAGGGGGGGGCTTCAGCCGGCGAGGCTGCTGGGCGCTGATACACGAGGGGCTGCCAGGCCTGCCAGACCGGCTGGATCAGAAATCGGCCTGGCGATGGCAGCGTCAAACGGCCTGAGGGGGGCGCTTAGCCAGGGGGCCAAGGCAGGGGGATGGGACCCGGGGTCCGGCCCAGCCCCTTCCCTTCTGGCAAAGGCGCGGGAGCGGCGCGACGGGGGGTCGTTGGAGACGTACAGCAGGGCGTTCCTGCGGGGAGGGGGGAAGCAGCTGCCAGGACGTGTGAGGATTAAGGAGGAGGGATGGAGATGACGATGAGGGAGGATGAGGCCCAGGCATCAGGCGTCTCGAAAAAATCGGGACGACGGTTTTCCATCTTTTCCTGCCTTGAGGCCCTCACTGGGCCTCGGGACCGTAAAAAAACCGACATGGGACGAAAAATCGGTCCCGCGGAAGTGGTCGAAAGGTCGGGGGCGTGTCTCGAACAAATCGAGACGCCGGGTGATTGGGAGGGGGGCAAGGGAAGAATGAGGGGGGATGGAGGAGAGATGAAGCTGGGATGAGAGGGGGAAAGAGGGAGGGAGAGGGGGGAGGAGGCTGGAGATCAGCGGGTCAAACCGTTGCACGTCCGTTCCTTTCCCCATTGCATCCGAGGGTCCATTCACAAATAGGAAGAGAGAGCGAGGAAGGGGGAGGAGAAAACACACACACACAAAAAAAAACAGGAGTGGGGGGAGCAGGATGACAGAGGAGATAGGCAGGAGGAGAGCAGGGAAAGGGAGAAACTGAAGAGACTGAAAATGGAGAGGAGAAGTGGCATCATAGGTCGGACCAACTTAGTGAACCGACGGCGCCTCTCCCCCTCACCCCGCTTTGACATTCATTGTCGGTTTCGTTGTCCTCCCTTCTTTCTCTCTCTCTCTCTCTCTCTATCCCTCCCTCTCTCGCTCTGTCTCATGTTCCCCCTCTATCTCCCTCTATCTCGCTCTCTCTCTTTCTCTCTCTCTCTCTCTCTCTTTCTCCTGTATCAGTATCCCCCTTCCTCCTC